TGTTTTACGGAACTTTGGCGTACTTTGGGAGCAATCTTTTAAAAACAAGACAATTTCAACGTACTAAACTTTCATGGACAATTAAGATGCATTATTTTGGGCCATTCATACCAAGATCGTGCGACATCTGCTGGATGTGGGTCAAGATCAATCTACTGATCGCGTCAGTGGACAAAAATAGTTGCGATCCGCTCCATTATTTGTGCGCCGAGAACTCAACTCTGCCACATAAATATAAATGTCTTCTATGGCAAATTACCATATGTAGCAATTGACCCTATTGTATACTAAATATTTTCCTTAATCAAACGCAGCAATAAGAATTAATCAATTAAAAGACGAGAGCTCGTTTGCCAAATTAAAGTATAGTTGGAAATTAAAAATCCATTTCGCTGGCTTTCGGCAGCGAAAATTCTAAAGTATTCTAAAATATGATATATGTGTCTACGCCTGGTATGGACGTTTGGACGGGTGTGTGCTGTGTGCTGTGGCTGTGCCTTCCTCCGGCAAATGAAAAACAGCTCAAAAGATTCCGGGAAGAGCCATCGCCAGCGGGGCGTTGCAATGGGGCAGCAACTGTGCAATCGGCAACGCTTGTTTTGTAATCGACAACAAACTGCCGGCTCCCGAACGAAGCCAACATAAAACAGCAGCCAGAACAGCAGATCTTACAACACAGGGCCATAAAAGTCTCGAGGCAAGTGAGTTCTGCAAGAGCGTTTTCATTAGACCGAACTGGCCATGCCCTGTGTGATTTGTTTACAGATCCACTAAATAAATACCCTCTTGCCTGGATATTTTATACCGGGTCACTAATTAATTGTTCAGTCTAGCAAATCCCTTACTAATAAGGGGTGAACATGCTGTCCAAATTAGGAAATACTGCTCAAAGAGGCGCCGCGCTGCCTTTCAGATGCTAATGATCGAACCACTGGCGATCTGAGATCTCTAGGCGGAACCCACCGAAGCTGACCGCAACGTATCTATGCGTCTATCCATCTATGTGTGGCATCTCTGGCCAGATCAGCATCGCATTGTATCATCTCAATAATTAACGCATTCAGATCATTAGGCGGCCGGCAGCACGCGCAGCCATAAACTTTTGTTTAGCAGAAAACGCCAAAATAGCAGCGATGCTGTTGCCTCACAGCCACACATCAGATGGGATCCCCGAACTCGGATGCAGAGTCACTTTCGGATATGTGATGCAAGTGAGTTTCGATCGGCAGACGGCCTCCAAGCGGTTCGAAGATCAACGAGCGAGAGGCTGTGAAGGGCCCTAGACTACGGATCAGTATCGAATCCGCAGTACCTTCAGTATCTTCAGATGTTCGATGTCAGACCGACTGTCTGTTTATCCGTCCGTGCGTCCAACACGCGCAGCCCTCTTAGTCAATTGCGTCTGTCCGCGAATACATATGGTATGTTTGTGGGTGAGTGTGCCAGTGTGCCTGGTGCGTGAGTGGTTCGGTTTCATTCAGCCGATTTTCGCTCACCCACACACTTGATTGATAAATATTGATCCTGATTGAATGATCGAAAGCTTGCGAAAGCCCGAGACAGCCATTCCAGCGATCCGCAAACCTCTGCAACTATTGAGAGCTCAGGCTTTTAAGTTCCCCTGACAGCTGCTCAATCAAATCGAATCAAATATTTGGGCTAACTAAACACAAACCTTTCTTAAAGAGCCTCCTCACCCTCGGCAATTCCGTGCCCTCGTCGGTGATGTCTAAATTCTGGAAATTCGCAAAAATCAAACTCAATTACTTGCGCTGTCAATCAGCGGCAGGAATACTCGTTCGAATCGGATCGGAATCGCAATCGCAATCGGAATCGGAATGGGAATCGCGAGACATGCGTAAGAGGCATTTGTTGTGCTCCCATAGTTTTCGTATCTCAAAGATACATTTCACTTAACTGTATGGCATATATCATCCATTCAACTACAGCATAGACCGGCCACAATGACAGCACACACAGATGGCGATTGCCGATCTAGATGGGAATCGGGCTATGGCTATGGAGATGGGGAATGGGAATGGGAATGGGGATGTGGTTGGGGATGGGGATCCATGGGAGCTGGCCGACGTGCGTTGACCCTGAGACTAGACCTCGCCCACGCAACGCGCCAAACATAAACTAATATTAACTTATATATAGATGCACAGGGGGAAACGGGCCACCTTAAAGAACACACAATTTTTGTACTATTTATTCTAACCTTGAATTTTCTGTGTTGAGGAAAACTTAACACGCAACATATATATATGTTTCTTAACAAATTGTTGGATAATAATATATTGAATTAATTTCAGCTGTCTTTTGAATAAATTAATTTTTGATTTTTACATTTTATTCCTATTTAATACCCATTATTATGATCAGTGTACTTCTATTCCTTGAGATGGAGACCGAATGGCATGCAAAACGTATCCCAAAGGCTTGCAAATATTTATGGTATCATGTGGAATATACGCAGAGTGAGTTGAAATTAAAACATTTTAAAAGTAGCAGAAGTACAAGGAGAAGCACCGCTCTATCGCCATAAAAGATGAGTGCCCGCTGAAAGGCAAGATCATAAAAATGGACTACAATTCAAGTACATACGCGTGCACAGTTCAATCTTCCTGGATCTGAACGGGCTCTTTGAACTGTCTGTCAGTTGGAGAAAGACATTAGACATCTGCAGTTGGTTCCGGCCCTAATTGGCCCCAGCTGAACCGCTCCCGAAATTGAAATTCGCTTTGCGCAAAAAAGCGGTTCAACACACGGCGATCGGCTTTCAGTAATGCAACGCCCCTTTTCGGGGTGGCCAATGCACTGGCACCGGCACTGGAACTGGCACTGGCAATGGCACGGCCAAATGCTTTAATTGAACATTTTCATTTACACCAGGCCATTCAATGGATATGAATCGGTTTTACATAAGGCCCAAAATTTATATTTCTTTCTGAATAATTCTGCTGTTCATTGATTCCGAAAACGTAATTGAATGCAGCCATTGCATTGAGAATGCTCTGAGTATGGGTACGAGTAATGAATTATGCAAAAATGAGTGTGCCTGCAGGCATACTCCGCTTCTGCAGTATTAGAAGCGGAGCATAATGCCGTAATGCTAAACTCGAGTCGAAATAATGTCGATTCTGCGCTGTGTCAGCACTCTCTCCGATTGCATTCGGCGTTCGGCATTCGGTTAATATGGAATATGGCTTATAGAATATGGCCTGATGTCGATTTGTGATGGCCTTACTTTTGCTTTTGGCTGGCTTCCTAAGCCTAAGCTTTTGATTTAGCTATCAAAGGGGCTTAATTCGTGGAACTGCACATGCCGCACACAATCTCATTGTGCTTGCAAAAATCGTACGACAATCATGAGTAAGTTCTCAAAATGGGGAAAACATACAAACATCATAAAATTTTGTGAATTGTTGGTTTTATTATGATGATGAATAAGTAAAATGTTTGTAGACCTTTAATCTATACTAAACTAACATGTTTATGTGGCCTGTTGCGATATTTTTCTTTTGATTTATTCGGTTTCAAGTAGCACAATTGTTAATTTAAAGTATATTATATATTAAATATATTAATACGGATCTAAAGTTATTGAAATTCGTGAAAGACTTATTAACACTTCAGTCAAGCTAGAAAGTAAAAACCGGAAAAAAGTATATCTTACAAGAGATATTTTTACAAAAAAAAACATCTTGGTAGCGATCCCAAAAATGTAAAGAATTATAGATAAAAGAATTTAAATGGATGGACTTACTTTACGTTTAATCTTTAAAAAAAATCTAAATTTATTTATTTTCTTCTCACAGTGTAAGCACATGGCACCACTTGACTGACGCAGCTGTTGCACCACTCTGAGCCACCGGCTGCACCACAGCTGCAGCGACAATCCCATCCGATTGGTGCGAAGATCATCTGCGTGGTTCTCCATTTCTCAAGTTCTGCGGCTCTGCGAGAAGATGCCAGGAGTTTAGATTAGTTGTGTCGCCTTGAACCATTGACATTATTTGTGGCGCATTTTAATTACGCCCAGAGGTATGGAAATGCTGACTGGCCAACTGGCTGCTGGCTGCTGGCCAGTTTTCCATTGCATAATACATTTTGCTGGCAGGGAGCGGCACCGGAGATCGGGGATCGGGGATCGGAGATCGGTGATCGGAGGCGCGACTTCCCGTTTCGGTAGCGCCGACAATTGTCACAATGATTTACAAGCATACCGCGTTGGCAGCTATAAATTGCTAAATGGCCATTACAGAATTAATTACACGGCTGCCGAAGAACCCCTCCTGAGTCAGAGCCTCGAGCCATGTCGATCGCAATTGACCTTTAGCCCCGCCTCGACTGCCGACTGAAAATGAATTATTATCTTGTAATTGTCACGTAGATATCTTACTGCGATACATTCCGAGCTGGATCAAAGTATGCAAAACAGAAACGGGTCGAAAAGTCAGAACCACTCAGTGTCCAAGTAACGAGCATGTTACTCCGATGGTATTAAATTACACTGGCGTCGACATGACCAGACGCCGGAATAAAATAAGTTATTTCCCTAACTAAATTAACGAAACAAAGCAAACCCACGGCCAAACACGACTAATGTACTTACAATACATACCGAAAGATATTATTAATGTGATTTATGAACATGTTAGTTCATTAAATCAGCAACTAATAGAAACTATCCACAGAGCTTTATCTAAACTATTATTAGGCATGACCAGGTCGTAGACTATCCAACTTTACAATCAATTAGCGTAGAGATTTTCTAAAGAATTCCTCAGTTTCTTACAATCAACATAAACAAAGCAGAAACAGCAGTGGTTTTCTGTTTTAAATAGCCCACTTAAATATCATAAATTATATATTGTATATAAAGCAATAAAGAAATTATATGAATTCCACCAACATAAATGAGCCCGATAATCAAAAGTTGTTTAGAAATACGATGACAATTTCTGTTTGTGTTATTTAATATGCAAAACATTTGGCGTGTGCAAAAAGTCTATGAGGTATTAATAAATCCATAGAATGGGCTTTATGCTGGGCAAGCAAAATAAAGTATTTGTAATATATCTAAAGCCCTGCATGAAGTTGTCAAATTTGTGCAACTTTTCCAACACTCAGTTGGAGCCAGTGTCAGTGGCAGTTGTCAGGTGGAAAATACTTAGTTTTCCATTGGAAACACACCCCGTTGAGAGTCGAGAACCACCACCATGAGTGCCAGCGAGGGCATCAGTCTCCCGGGCAACCAGGACACCAGTCCGCCGCTTGAAAAACATAAACAAAAGCCCAAGCAGGGCAGAAAGAAGTCCAGAAGTGCCAAAAACAGTGTTCCAGTTCCCAGTCCGATGGACGCGAAAGCCACTGCCAGCTACTTCAGTTTGAGCATCACGGGCCAAATAGTCTCGGCCACGTTTCCCCTGGGTCCCGACAAGGAGTTTGTCTTCCTGCGCTACGAGCTGGTCGCTGGTCCCGACTGGCAGCTGTCCTCCGGACCCCGGCACGGGCTCACCCAGATGGCCACCAACCGGAGGGGCCACTTCAACGAACCGATCGTCTTCAACATGCCCATCGAGGTGACCTACAAGAGCACCAGTCCCTTTGGCTGTGGGTAAAAATGTGTATTAGTTCAACTGAAATGGCACACACACTTATTTTGCAGTATACCTACACTGGTGAAAAAAAACGTAGTAATTTAGATATTTTTCGGTTTGATTTTCATGCATTTCTGTTATAAATTATTTTAATTATAAAAATATTTTATCTTCATTTTTCATCTAACTCTATTTTTTAATTGTATTCTATATTCTACTATTAAAGATTTGTTTGACTCCAGTGTTCTTTTTTAGGGCTCCAGATCCTTATTTATAATTAATTTATAAGAGTAAAAACAAAGTATATGTGAAATTAAAGATTTACTTCCCCCTCCCGTTCTTTTTGCAGGGCCCCAGATCCTGGCGAGCGTGTTCGGACGCAATGGAGCGGGTCGGGAAGTGCTGCTTGGCTACGCCCACATCCACCTGCCTGTGTTTGGGGCTCGTCGTCCGGCGGAGCAGACGGAGCTGCTGCAGGCGCCCATCCTGATGCCCAAGTGCCCCAACATGATGGCGGACATCACCAGCTGGCTGCTGCGCCGCGAGCCGGAGCTGAAGGACCCCAAGGTCCTGCTGGACAGCCAGAAGTGCAAGGGCCTGTCCATGGAGTCCTACGGCAGCCTGCAGTTCCAGCTGGCCTCCGTGATGAGGGGCGCCCGCAAGCTGGGCTACCAGTGGCATTCCTGAGGAGGAGCATTCCAACCCAGATGTGGTGTGTCAGTTAACGTGAACTTGGCGAGGCAGTAAAGCGTTTGTGTTAATCTAATTGCTGGGTGGGTGGTGGTTGGTGGGTGGTGGCCCGCCGCTGGGAGCTGCCTCAAACTTGACCTTGTCCGCTAAGACAATTGGCGTAGTGACGCGACCAGTCGTAATCCGACGCAGCAAATTGCGCGGCTTTGGATTGGCCAAGTGCCTGGTAATTGGATTAGGGCAATTAGTCTAAGACGGGCTGGACACAAGTGGCCATATAAAGACGGGCAAAGGGACCCGCTGCAGCCATTGCCGCCGAGTCCGTGTCCCGAGAGTCAGTCGTCCTGCTATGGACAGCGAGTAGCTCCGCAGCAGAGTAGCCATTTGAACCACCGAAGTTCCACCGAAGCAGCTTGTACTTACCATACTATACTATAGCTATACTCCCGAAATGGCCAGCCTGAGTCCGCCCAGCTACGGCTTCATGCGCGATGGCCGCAACCTCAGCCTGGCGGAGAGCGTGCCCGCCGAGATCATGCACATGGTGGACCCGTACTGGTACCAGTGGCCGCCCCTCGAGCCCATGTGGTTCGGCATCATTGGTTTCGTGATCACCATTCTGGGCATTATGTCGCTGGCGGGCAACTTCGTCGTGATGTACATCTTCACCTCGTCGAAGGGGCTGCGCACCCCGTCCAACATGTTCGTGGTCAACCTGGCCTTCTCTGACTTCATGATGATGTTCACCATGTTCCCGCCCGTGGTGCTGAACGGTTTCTACGGCACCTGGATCATGGGTCCCTTCCTCTGCGAGCTGTACGGCCTGTTCGGCTCGCTCTTCGGCTGCGTGTCCATCTGGTCGATGACGCTGATTGCCTACGATCGCTACTGTGTGATTGTGAAGGGCATGGCCAGGAAGCCCCTGACGGCCACTGCGGCGGCGCTCCGACTCGTGGTCGTGTGGACCATCTGCGGAACCTGGGCTCTGATGCCCATGTTCGGCTGGAACCGCTACGTTCCCGAGGGCAATATGGTTAGTCGGCCATCACCATAGGACGTATCACTTATATACGTATAAATTTTCAGACCGCCTGTGGCACTGACTACTTCGCCAAGGATTGGTTCAACCGCTCCTACATCATCGTCTACTCGCTGTGGGTCTACCTCACGCCACTGTCGACCATCATCTTCTCCTACTGGCACATCATGAAGGTGAGTTGGCTGACTGGCTGGCTAGGTAGGGCATGGGTTTAGCTACATTACACTGCATTCCAGGCCGTGGCTGCCCATGAGAAGGCCATGCGGGAGCAGGCCAAGAAGATGAACGTGGCCTCGTTGCGCAACAGCGAGGCCGACAAGAGCAAGGCCATCGAGATCAAGCTGGCCAAGGTGGCCCTGACCACCATCTCGCTGTGGTTCTTCGCCTGGACGCCCTACACCATCATCAACTACGCGGGCATCTTCGAGTCCATGCACCTGAGTCCGCTGAGCACCATCTGTGGCTCCGTGTTCGCCAAGGCCAATGCGGTGTGCAACCCCATTGTCTACGGCTTGAGGTGGGCTTTTAGTCATCATATTGCTAACTAGTTTCTGATATATTAATTATCCTAAAACATCCTTAGCCACCCCAAGTACAAGCAGGTGCTGCGGGAGAAGATGCCCTGCTTGGCCTGCGGAAAGGACGACCTCGCCGCGGACTCGAGGACTCAGGCCACCGCGGAGATCAGCGAATCGCAGGCTTAGACGCATCGGAGACGACGACTGCAGACGTAGGGAACTGACAGCTCTAGATCTACAATACAAAGACTCAACCATTTCGCAAAGACACCTCAAGGAAAAAAAAAACAAAAAAAGATGGCATTAGAAAATGTAAAAAAAATCTCGTAAAAATATAACTGCAATTGATACAAAATCAAAGTAAACCCAGTGCCGTGACTTACTAGACTGCTTCATCCAGCACAGTGCCCCAAAGAAGTTAGTGCCTTTATTGGTAATTTAACATTTCAAGCATTTCAATAGCCAGTGGATCGTGTGAATCGTTGGTCGGAGTCAAGGCCAGTTTCGTATCAGTACAAATGGAGAGATCAGCGGTAGTAGGTCTGTAGGCCGAGGTCCATCAAGGTGCCATTGTGGCGTCTCTCTCGCAGTTCCTGGGTGAAGAGGGCCCGTCCCTGCAGCAGGATGAAGTCGATGAGCCTCCGGTCCGAGCTCTGACGCAGTGCATCCGGGTCGGTTCGCTTGCGAAGGTAGTTAAAACAGCAGGTCCTAAGATGGAATCGTGTTGCAATAATTGAAAATTCAAAACTCTTCATTTTTAAATCATTTTTAATCCCTAATCGTTACAAAATCACTTAAGACACTCTGGAAATCTAAGCAAATGGAGCTCCAAAATAAAATTTAAAATTCTAAATACCGACAAGATTTCATTTTGTGAAATTTTAAAGGTTTCAAATTATGATTACTTTAATATTTATTTTAGGCAAATGTGGACCATCTGAGTGAGTTAAGAAAACTCTTTTAAAATATATACTCACCGAAAATGCTTGGTGCCACAGGCGCTGGCACACTCCTTGCCACAAGTGTCGCATTTGATGGCCTGTGAGCTGGGGCACATCAACCAAATGCCTTGCAAAAAATAAATAAAATGTAAAGTTAAATGCCTGTTATAGGTGTTAGCTTTAGACTTACATAGCAAAACGATCTGGAAATGAGCCAGCCAATGCATGCTTGTCTTGGTCATTTGGTCGGGGACTTGCTCAAAAGCTTGTGCCGCTCATGTGATCTTCTGTTGGAGTCCTGTGCCGAGTCCCAGAGAAATCGCAACTGAAAAGACCGAGATGCCGGCCGCCGAGCTTATATACACGCCTGTCGCTGGACAACCGCCCACTTCTGGGATTCTGGCTTTCAAAGTGGTCAATGAAGCATGTGGCTGTGGATGAATTACCAGGAGGACTTACTTCACCGAGTATGTGTACACGCAGTGCATAATAAACAAGAGCTCGCAGACAATTGCAGATTGCGCAACAAGTTTATGGGGTTATTTTGGGGCTGTGGTGGATGGGAGCCGCAAAGCCAAGCAGCTGCACACAGGTTGTAAAAGTTCTTAATCGAGCTGGCAAGCGACAAGTTAAGCATATTTAAAATGTTTAGAAGAGGCACCAAGAAAAGGGGCTATGTATACTTACAAAATTTACGATATTCGCTGAAACGAAATTCAATTTCTTCTGTCTTTGTCAACGAAAACTTTTTGTTGCATTATTGTTTTTTTAGGCTTAAATCATTTAGATACGCAACAGATAAACTTTGCAATTTATTTATAGGTGCACTGCTATTTTGTAACGTCTTTGCTTTAAATTCCCGCTTATGATATACGATATTGCACATATTTTCTAAGATGTGGCAACGCAAAAAGACTAGGTTTACAAAATATTAAAGCTAAAATAATTTCGATTCATTTGATTATTTTGAAAGATTACTTTTTAATCTCATGTAACTTTTGTATTCTATAATGTTTAAAATGCCTAACTGCTGTTTTTACAATAAATTATTTGATTAAATATAATTTATGTATATATACAATTTAAACATAATATTTGTTACTTACATTCGTTGCTGTTAAATTAACAGTAGTTGAAGGTTTGAGTCCGAGCTATCCGGTTTCCCAATCTTCCAGAAATGGAGTGAAACAAGGCTAACTGTGCAAGAACTTGAGTGAGCAATAAATAAGCAATAAAATGTCGTTTGAGTTGGATAAATATCGATAATGTCCGCCAAACATGGATGTTGGCATCGATGCTAATCCACCTTTAACAGAGAAAGTTAGCGAAACGTCGAACTAACAGCGAAAGTTAGCGAAGCGTCGAACTAATAGAGGAGACTGGTAAATATCGATAGTCTCTGCCAAACATCCATAGAACCGGTATTTGGAAACATCGATGACATCGATATTGGCATGTCGATATTGGCATAGATGTGTCCACCTCTAAAAAATAAAAAAAATAATACAATAAATAAATAAGGATAAAAGTAAGGATATGTGGGAGCCGCCGCGACTGAGTGCATCCTTGCGCACCAAAACGGAGCTGGAGGCGCGGAGCCGCCGCTTCAGCGTGCTGCGCCAGGCGCGAACCTCCTCCACTGCCAGCGCGTCCACGACGACACACAGCCACAACCATGAGTAAGTTATGATTTCACCAGCTGTGAAATTGCACTAACCACATGTTTGCAGCAAGGAGGAGCAGACCATTGCCAAGCTGCTGGCCCAGGTGCCACCGTCGAAGCAGCCCGCCGCCAAGGTGCAGCTGCAGAAGCTGCGCAACCTGGTCCAGGAGTGCATGGGTTACGAGGAGCAGCCACAGGTGGTGGAGCACGCCGCCCTCTACCTCTTCTGGCTGCTCCTCGAGCAGCGTGTGCTCCTGGTGGCCACCACGCACCGGCTGCACGCCATGTTCGGCCAGACCTTCGACCGCAAGCGCACCCAGATCCACGACTGCGTCCTGGCCATCGGCGATCTGCTGGAGGAGCACGAGCGGGCCGCCCTGAAACGCTGGCAGCAGGCGCAACGCCGGGCTCCCGGAGTGGGTCCCCTGTGGGGCGCCCACATCCACGTCCTGTGCACGCCCTCGGAGTGGATGGACATCGGCCTGCTGACGGACCTCGCCCCGGATGCCCTGCTCAAGAACCGCACCGTCAACAAGTTCTCCATGAAGTACAAATGCAAGTCCGCCCCGTCGGCGTCCAAGAGCTCCGAGGCCGCCAAGCTGAGTCCGGAGCTGCAGACCCTGCTGGGGATCTCCGAGAAACTGGACGACGAGCACCTGTTGAACCGCGTGGGCGACATTCTCGGCTCCAAGCGCAGCAGTGAGGAGCTGCAGAACGAGCTCATGGAGCTCCTGGGCTTCGACCACTTCGAGCTGGTGGGAAAGCTGCTCCAGGATCGGGACAAGGTGGCCCGGCAGTTGGATCAGTTTGCCACTCGATCCCGGCGCGTCAAGGAGGTGAAACAGAAGCGCATCCAGACGGCGGCCAGTGGAGGAGCAGCGGCTGAAAGACGGCCCACTGTGGCCAGCGCCGTGGTGGTGCAGTCGGCCCAGGAGAAGCAGCTGGGCAAGATGCAGCGCCGCGAGGAGAAGAAGCTGCAGCGCATCATGCGCAGCATCAAGGACGAGGAGCCCGAGGACGACCCGAACTGTGCGGTGGCCGTGTCCGTCCAGCAACTGCGCATGCAGCACCAGCGGAAGCTGCTGGAGGCAGCCCAACGGGAGCCATTGCTGCTCAGCACCAAAGCGGCCAAGGCGGACTACAAGCACTCCTCGCACAACCAGCCCATCCACTACCCTTATGTGTTCGACAGCCAGCTGCTGGCCAAGCAGCACGCCGGCTTCATTGGCGGCAGTCGGATAACCCTGCCCGACAATGCCCAGCGGGTGGACAGCAAGCAGTGGGAGGAGGTCAAGATCCCGGCGAGCGAACCTCCGCCGCTGACTGTCGGCAACAAGCGCATCAAGATCGAGGAACTGGACGACGTGGGCAGACTGGCCTTTGCCAACTGCAAGGAACTAAATCGCATCCAGTCAGTGGTCTATCCGGTGGCCTACCACAGCAACGAGAACATGCTGGTGTGTGCGCCCACGGGCGCCGGAAAGACCAACGTGGCCATGTTGTCCATTGTGCACACGATCCGCTGTCACCTGGAGCAGGGAGTGATCAACCGGGACGAGTTCAAGATCGTCTACATAGCGCCGATGAAGGCGCTGGCCTCCGAAATGGTTGATAACTTCTCCAAGCGTCTGAAATCCTTGCAAATCGTTGTGCGCGAACTGACGGGCGACATGCAGCTGACCAAGGCGGAGATGGCCGCCACCCAGATACTGGTCACCACGCCGGAGAAGTGGGATGTGGTCACCAGGAAGGGTAAGTTATCTTAATCGAAATGAGAGTTTGGTAATACCCAATTTCCTTATCAGGCAGCGGCGATGTGGCTCTGATTAGCCTGGTAAAATTGCTAATTATTGATGAGGTTCACCTGCTGCACGGCGAACGAGGTCCGGTGGTGGAGGCCCTGGTGGCACGCACCCTCCGCCTCGTGGAGTCCTCGCAGTCCATGATCCGCATTGTTGGCCTGTCGGCCACCCTGCCAAACTACATCGATGTGGCGCACTTCCTGCGCGTGAATCCCATGAAGGGCCTCTTCTATTTCGACTCCCGCTTCCGCCCTGTTCCGCTGGACACCAACTTCGTGGGCATCAAGTCGGTCAAGCCACTGCAGCAGATCGCCGACATGGACCAGTGCTGCTACCAGAAGTGCGCCGAGATGGTGAAGGAGGGTCACCAAGTCATGGTCTTCGTGCACGCCCGAAACGCCACTGTGCGAACGGCGAACGTGATTCGCGAGCTGGCCCAGCAGAACAATACCAGTGCCATATTCCTGCCCAACGACTCAGTGGCCCACGGCCTGGCCATGCGCTCGATTCAAAGGAGCCGGAACAAGCAGCTGGTGGACCTGTTCTCCTGCGGCCTGGCCATGCACCATGCGGGCATGCTGCGCGCCGACCGTCAGATGGTCGAGAAGTACTTCGTCGAAGGCCACATCTCGGTGCTAGTCTGCACGGCCACCCTCGCCTGGGGCGTCAATCTGCCGGCCCACGCCGTCATTATCCGCGGTACGGACATCTACGATGCCAAGCACGGCAGCTTCGTGGACCTGGGCATTCTCGATGTGCTGCAGATCTTCGGACGCGCCGGTCGCCCCCAATTCGACAAGAGCGGAGTGGGCACCATCATCACCAGCTATGACAAACTGAACCACTATCTCTCGCTGCTGACCAATCAATTCCCCATCGAGTCCAACTTTGTCAATTGCCTGGCTGACAATCTCAATGCGGAGATCGGTCTGGGCACCATTACCAATGTGGAGGAAGCAATCGAGTGGCTCAGTTACACGTGAGTTGATCTGTACTTGCACTTTCCATGCAATATCATTCTTATTTTGGTTGAATACTACTCTTTAGTTACCTGTTTGTGCGAATGCGAATCAATCCCCATGTGTACGGCATCGAGTATGCGGAACTGCAGAAGGATCCCACACTAGAAGCCCGACGGCGCGCTCTCATCATGACTGCCTCGATGAGTCTGGACAAGGCTCGGATGATGCGCTTCAACCAGCGCACCATGGACATGAATATAACCGACTTGGGTCGCACTGCCTCGCATTTCTACATCAAGTACGACACTGTGGAGACTTTCAATGAGCTGATGAAGCCATTCATGAACGAGGCTGAGATATTGGCCATGATTTCTCAGGCGCAGGAGTTCCAGCAGCTCAAGGTGCGCGACGATGAGATGGAGGAGCTGGACGAGCTGAGGAGCTACTACTGCAAGATAAAGCCCTACGGAGGCAGTGAGAATATCCACGGCAAGGTAACCACCAAACTTTACATAATGTGCTTACATTTTTATAACTATTCCATTCCTTGCCAGGTCAACATTCTCATCCAGACATACCTGTCCAATGGGTACGTGAAGTCCTTCTCACTGAGCTCCGACATGTCCTACATCACCACAAACATAGGCAGAATTACCAGGGCCCTGTTCTCGATTGTTTTGAGGCAGAATAATGCGGTCCTGGCCGGGCGCATGCTGCAGCTGTGCAAGATGTTTGAGCGGCGGCAATGGGACCTCGACAGCCACCTGCGACAGTTCCCAGCCATCAATGCGGAAACCATCGACAAGCTGGAGCGACGCGGCCTGAGTGTCTACCGACTGCGGGACATGGAGCAGCGGGAACTAAAGGAGTGGCTGCGAAGCGATCGCT